AAGGATTAATAATGAATTTATTAACGTAAGATAGGCTATTTACATATTCTTCAAAATATGGTATAGACACTTTTATGAGGACTTTCTTGGACCTGTGAACAGTTTGTAACGGTTAAAAATGACTTTTTCTTCTGTCACAGTCCGGTGGTGTTCATATGATCACTGAAATAGTTTTTACTTTGCCAATTAACCATCCCTTTCTAACACGATTCCAGTTTAAGTGAGTGGGAAGTTCTTTCTGTGCCAAAATATATTATATATTATATATTATATATGAATTAGTGAAATCAATCGAGTTACAGTGTTTTTAGTACCAAATTAATCCCTTTTTACTTTCTGACAGAGTTTGATGTTCTTTTACTTAACAGTGATTCGAAAACATGATAAAAGGACCAAAATAGAAAAACAAGGATCATCAAGTCTATCTAAAAGATATAAAACACAAGTCATTTTAGATCAGGTGCCTTTGATATGCCAGCATAGTAAAAATCACATCCATGTCACTGCGTAACAACCTAGAGTGAGTGAAGAAAGACACCTGATGGAAGAAAGATGAGGGTCGCAAACCTGAAGGCATCTGAGGTTAAACTATATCCTATATCTGGTTTGGAGGATTAGTCCTCCTCCAGTAGTAGGCCAGTACTGCTGATGAAGACATTTTAAATTTTCAACACTTCTATAAGTGGACCACCGAGCAGAGAGAGCAATTAGGTTTCTATTTTAGAAGGCAAATGATGGGTGGTCACTTCATCAGCAGAGTCCACACTAAGAGACTCATCGCACTGACTGTTTCTGTTCACCATCAGACAGACTAAAAGCAGAGCTCAGAGATCAGTCACTGCAGTACGGCTCTATTAACACTAGATGGAGGCACAGACAACTCTACCGTCCCTTGTGAAGCAGCATGTACTATGACCACTCAAAGTAAAGACAAATTAGGAAGAGAGAAAATATATAGACTGTAAATTAAGGATGTAGCTAACAATTATTTTTATCATCAAGTAATCTGTTGATCATTTTTGTTTAATCAATCAGTTATCTTGTCCATATAATGTCGGAAAATGGTGAAAAAGATTGACCACTGTTTCCCAAAGCCCAAGTTGACGTCCTCAAATATCTTGTTTTGTTCACAACCCAAAGATATTCAGTTTACTGTCATAGAGACTGGGTCGTGACCCAGACATGGGTCGCAAATAAATGTCTTTTTTTATAAAGTGAGCTACATTCTGTAAGGGCATGGGGTCTTCAAATTACCATTACTGTGAGGAAGCTCATCAGAGGAAATAAAAACAATAAGAAGGCCTATTACAGTAACCCTGCTTAAATGCATTCATTAGATCTCATTTATAAATTATGTTTTCAATAACAAATTCATAAAACAAAGTTGTGATTTATCAAATGTATATCTCTTTAAAATGGCTGCTTGAACTGTTAAAGAAAATATGGCATGATGCAGAAATAGGAATGTTAATCTATGCATTGCCATGGTTTGTCATTTTTAAAAAGTGGGTCCCCAGAAAAAAAAGTGTTGGAAACATTGTCATAGAGGACTAAAAAAAAAGCTGAAGATATTCACATCAGATAATTTGACTTTTTTTAATAACATTTTTATTTAAAAAAAAAATACTAAAAATTGAATAATCTATCAAAATAGTTGGCAATTAATTTAATAGTTGTCACCCATTTGGATTAATCGACTAATTGTTTATGAAATTCTAAAATATAAGTAAAGTGCAAATAATGGCAAAAATATAAACAGGTAAAAATCATAGATATGTATGAGAAGTGATATGTAGAGCAACCGTTGTAATTACAATACAATGCTCCTTGAAATGTTCCCTTTCTATATGGAAGGTGTATTTGCAAATAATAAATGCAAGTTTGATTTAATTTTGTATGGAACTCCAAAATGGCCAATTTTAAAATAAATAAATAAACATTATATATTATCTGTTTGAGTGTATTGGCATAGATGTAACGTTAAAGCAGTTCCTACCTGGGAGTTGGGACCCCACTAGGGGTCACCAGTTGGGCCACAACCAAAAACCAAAGATTGTTATTTTTATGTTTATCTATATTCACAGAGCGTTCACTCTCTGGTAAACAGTGGACAAAATGTGAATGTGAAGTTTTCCTTTAGGGTGCTAATCCTAACCCTGACAACTTTCTGCATGTTGGTGCCCTTTTTGAGTCCACCACTGGCCAGACCTGTCCAGTGTTGGACTTTACTAACATTCTTGTGGTTGAAAGGGAGCAAAATCCTGCAGCTGGGATCCAACATCTGTTACAAAGACTGAAAGTGAAAGTAAAACTTTTGGCTTTGCAGTCTGGTCTTAATTACATTTTTATGATTGTATCACTTTTGTTCTGTTGTTCTGTCCTGCTGAAATTTGCAACTATACAGCTAGATGCCACTAAATTCTACACACTGGTCCTTTAACAGCTCTTTTGTTTGAGTACATACATAAATGTAGCAGTGTTTCTCTGAGCTCTCCACAAAAGGCACAGCTTCCATCAGTTCCTCCTGAATTTCTACACATAAAAAGATGTAAAGAACAGTCTTTTGTTATTGTCATGTTCACACTCCTTTGTCTGTTCTCTCCTTCCTCAAATAATCAGCTCTGTCTGTGATGTGTTAATACAGTCTGCACCAGATTTAGCCTGTGGCCCCTGCAGAGAGATGAGACTGGCCTGGAATACTTTTCTCTGCCCGTCAGGTGAACAAAGCCAGTTCAGCTTTTAGCATCATTGATTTACTTGGAGCGTTCCCCTACTTCTGCAGTCTGTATTAAAGACATTTATTCTCTCTAGTGGGTAAAATCTGATAGAAATATGATCTAAAATAATAACAGAAATGCTTATATGTGTAGCAGCGTGGCTAAGTAGAATCTCTGAAAGCTGCTGTGACACAGCTCTGTGCATTCCTGCATGTAAGATGTGATTGATGTGCCCAACCATATGCACATGGTTACTGAGCTGGCTCTCCTCATTATTAAACTTGTGTTCACCATTGTTTCTGTCTTGTTCTAGAGGAACTTAATGATACATGAGATTCCCTCTAAAACCCCAAAATAGCCCTTCTGCATTATGTATGACCGTTATGAAGGCGTTACATAAGGAGGTGAGAGGGATGTGGGAGGTGATAGCGAATGTCTTGTGCTTCTATTTATTCTCAATGTTTATAATCTCTCTAATTATCATTAAAGTGTCTTTAATAGTCTGAACTAAAAGCTGTAAAAATATACCTTTCTGAAGTACTTTGCTATAGAATTTCCATTTTCTGTTACCCTTTACTCAGAAATCTCAATTTCCCATCAGGATAAGGAGAAATGTTTCTAATTCAATTTCAGTGTCCCAATTACAGATTCTCCAAGTGTGTAGAACTCTAGTGGTGGATGAAAAAGTATTTCCTCATTTGGTATTCTGATGATGGTCGCTCCAGTGTTTTCTATAAGTGTTCAGTTTGGTCATAACCATATTCATCTTTTAGGGACCCTAGTGGGAAATGCGGTATGTTTCCATTAAAAGACGAGTATGTAAGATTTAGGCAAGGCTACACAAATTAATCTGTACACATATTTCATACCCAAATTGCTACAACAAAAGCAACCAAGCAAAAGCACATAAAATAAACACAGATAAAACTAATTTGATTGATTAAAGATGAATTTAAAGCAATGGTAAACAGGTAGCTTGGATTTGAAAGTAGTCAGCATTGCAGTCTTAGTTCTCCTGGCAGTTTGTTCTACATTTGAGCAGCATAGAAATTTAAGTCAGCTTCTCCACACTTAGTTTTGACTGGGAACAGTAATCCAGGACCAGCCACCCTGAGAGGTCTGCAAGCTTGGTACTGGGTCAGGAGATCTGATAGGAGTCTTGGACCTAAACCATTCAGAGACTTGGACAGCAGTAGAATTAAGTTGATTAGTTGCTTTCATTTAGGCCTGGTAGAGATGTCTGACTGTCAGGATACAGTGAGAGTTTCAGCAAATATGAAAAAAAGTTAATTTAATAAAAGTTACCAACTGCAGCTTAATATAATGTGTGCAGCATTCTGAAAGGGGAAATCCTTATCAGACTTTGGGAAATGATACAGTCCTCATTGAGCTCTGACAGGCTAATACCTGGGTGCTGGACAGGAAACACTGTGGTATTGGAGAAGAAGTTGATTCAGTTTTCTGCCATTATACATAATTCCATCAATTTGCAGTTTAATAATGCAGAGACGACTCAGAGCGGTGGTTCTTCCTGCTCTTTTCATCTGCACACATCAGACATCAGCTTTAAGAATCAAAGCAGGTTAGCACAGGAGAGATTCCACGATCTCATTATGCCTAATTAATTGAGTGGAAGTGTGCTGAATGAAGCTGTACATCCTGACTTCAAAGGCTTTAGATGAAGAAATCTTAAAGCTGCTCCGTGTGTGTAGCATTCTAATGCACATATGATTCTTTCCTGGTTTAGAGCACATGATCTGTGCTGCAGGATTAATGTCACACAAAAGCTTCAGACTTTCTGCAGGGACTGGCTGATTTCATACAGAATTGCACAACCACCCTCCATAGTATCCAAGGAGTAAAAAAACAACAAAAAAGGCTGTTTATATCAGTTTGTATGCTGTACATGCAGTTTCTCTGCCAGTCTTGTTTTTTCAGTGATATTTCATAGACCATTACTCTATGGAAGCCCATTGCTGCCAATGTGACAGGGGGGGAAAAGGATTCTGTATGTCATTATAAAATAATTCTCAAAATAATGACTTAGTATCTCAAAATATTGAGAAACTTTCTCAATATCAAAATAATGACTTTGTGATACTAAGTCATTATTATTGTATAAATAATTATCGTCATTATTATAGTATAATGACTTGCAGAAACCTTTTTTTTTCCATCACACTAGCTGAAATAAGCTTCCATACTGTCCCTCGTGGTACAGTGTAAATGGGAGGGGATACAGCATTTACCTGAGCTAGAGGTGCACAGCATATAAAAAATGTTCTGAATTAGAGCTGATTGTTTCTTCCTTTTTTTCCTTATTCCTAATTTACATGTTATCAAAACTGACATATCACAATAGTTTTACTGATCTGTATGTACCACTGCAATAGCAAAAAATAAGAAAAAAATGTTTCAATAGAAAAAAAACACCCACCCTTCTAAGACATTTTTGACTAGCCAGCCTAATCAAAAAAGAGTCTAAGAATCACTCAAAGTACTTTTACACTAAATGCCCATTCACCCAAACTAACTCATTCACACACCGATGCACAGCATCGTGAGTAACTTGGGATTCAGTATCTTGCGCAAGGATACATCGAAATGCGGCGGGAGGAGCCAGTGTATAAACCGCTGACCTTCCAATTAGTGGACAACCTGTTCTACCTCCTGAGCCACAGCCACTTGGTATAACTCATAGATCATTGTGCCTGCCACCATGGTTCTGCTTGACCCCCACTGCTAATATTATTGATTGTCATCATAATTTTTATTCATCATTCACCATTGTTATGGTTGTTGTCATCGTGTCTTCATGATTATCATTATAATTATTATTATTATTAGTCATTTCTATTGATATAGTTGTTATTGTTGCGATTGTTATTGCTTTGCATCTCTGTCTTTCTTTCTCTCTTTACCCTCCTCCCCCTCTACTCTCTCTACCCCCCTCTGTCCCACCTAGAGCTGAAATCTGCTTGAGGTTTCTGCAAGAAAGCTTTTCCTTGCTGCTGTCGCCAAAGTGGCTTGGCTCATGATGGGAACTGTTGGCTCTCTTTTTTTATTTCATTGGGAGTACAGTCTAGGACCCTGCTCATTTGAAAAGGTGTCCTTGAGATAAACTTTTGTTATGAATTGGTGCTATACAAATAAAATTTAATTGAATTACAAACAAGTTACTGTTAGTGTAATATAGTGTATTTATCAAAAGAAATTTGTAATGTTGATATCTCTTTAAGCTTCCAAGAAACACTTTGTATACCATTATTGTTGATTATGTTGTTTTGATTGATGCATTTTTTGTGCAAACTAACGTTACAAGAAGTCAAAGACACAGGACAACTGGTGCAGTATAACATTACAATAAGGCATACATAGAGATAAGGACATTTAAGACATACCAATACATACAGCAGATCTTTGCACATTATTGGCATAGATGTTGAGATGTGGCTGCAGATGCTTCTGCTCCTCTGATACCACCTTACAGGAGCATCCCAGTGGCCTTATCAGTGTTGCAACTACAACCGCAACCTTAGTCTGACCCCCATCCCCCTCCTCCCTTCTGTCCTCCCGCAGATCCCTCCATCATATTCTCCTTGCTCCTTACATGCCTGTCCTGCTCAGGTGTCTCCCTGCTGCAGTGCAGAGCAGTGAGACAGCAAGTGGTGGACAACAAACAAGACTCATCTCTGACTGTCTTTATCACTGGGACAGAGAGCTGCACGAGTGCTGGCAGTGTGCCTCTCCGCACAGCTCTGAATGGAGCACTTATCTGTGCTCTCAGTGAGCTGACTATGTGGAGCAGCCCGGCAGAAGGTCAGAGTATTTTACGAAACACTGAGACACCTGTAGTGTAGGTGATAAGGAGGTTGTTGGTTTAATGTATACATGGGGGCTTCTTCATGGAGCAATCATGAGCCTTTCAGAACCTGTTTCTGTTTTGGTCTAAACCACAATGGTTTGGAAAAGGCAGCATGCAGAAGCTTTTCTGCACTATTAGGCTGTAAAAAATAATATGTTGGTTAGTTGAAATACTATTTCACATTATCCGACTGTCCTCTGTCAGCAATTTCTGGTTCTGTATTGTTATTCACCATTAAATAAAAGCAGCTTCTCTTAGTGGGCAATCACACCGTTGCTAGAAACGCGTTGCCAGCTAAACCATGTTTTCCTAGGGTTCAGCGTTCCCGACATGCGCTCCTCTCTTGCCCAACATGTTGCGTTTTCATGAAGTTACTATACTAAGGCTCAGGAACATGCCTCTTTCACCAATGCTATCACCTGTGCCTTAGTAATTCAATCGCATGTGCTCACCTGTATAAGCATGTCTATCTTGCATGTCCTCTTTCTCCTGTTTGTCTCAGTTCTCACGATCCTCCACCCCTTAATCCTGTTCTACCCCCTTCCTTCTCCTTGTTGGTCACAGCAAGAAGGTCCTGGGTTATCAACCTTGGCCATCCCAGGTCCTTTCTGTTTATCCCTGTGTTAGCGTGGCTTTCCACCAGGTGCTCCGGTTGTCCAAAATAGAAAGGGTCCATCCTCTCCATTTCCAGAAGGTCCTTAGAAGAATCTGGAACTTCAGGTGAAGTTGTGTGTGTCCATCAGGCCATGCCATAGCTGCAGTAACAGAGGGCTCAGTGAGATGAATGTTTTTACCCCCCCCCCCCCAAAAAAAAAGAACTTGATGATTTGAATAGAATCTGAAGTCGACTTACATTGTGTTAATCGAATCTCTGCGTTTCAGTTTTTTTAGAGCAACAGCAGGTTAGGAGTTTATGACACCACTTATCAGCCATCGAAGCTGGATTAAGCGTCCATGCAAGTAGTTGATGGCAATCCTGCTGTAGGTACAGTATGTCAGAGGTTTTGATTTAAAGTTGAGTATCAATTTCACCACTGCAGTACTAGATGCATGCATAATCAGGCCTTATTATGATTTAATTATTTTCCCCACAGTAACTGTTTACATTCTTTCAGTTGCTTTGTATAATACAGATCAACACATCTAGAACTGGAGTTACATCAAGATTAATTATAAAGTAATTTAGCCATGTCTCATTGATGAATGTGAGGCTATCGCTGTGTTTATATGGTAGATTTGTGTTACTGAAAATTAGACGACTGCTTCACGTTGTCTTCATAAGGCCTTTTCCGAAACTGTATCTTTGCCAAAGGAAGCGTGCATCTACTCACGCACTAGAGGCTTGTACTATTGACAATGCAGGATGTAAACATTAATGGCATCTTAGCCTGTTGACTTAGACTTACGTTGACCTTGAAGTGTGCATGCGCGAAACTGCATGCTGCCTATTACGTGGCTAAATAATTCCCCCTGGGATTATTAGAGTATTTTGATTCCTGATTCTTGAGACTTAGACTGGGTGGCCACTTTATTGGATCCGCTTTGGGACAAAACACCTTAGAGGTATGGAATAAAACAATACGAATATACAGATAAACCAATGAAACTCTTAGCTAAATATAGAGAGTAGAGATAAGAATAAATGTAATGAATAACACATTCGAAGTAACAAATAAGAATAAAATATAAATAAAATGTGAGAGAACTGTATAGAGGATAGAACTATAAGATAGATATACTATCGACTGTATATGGCATTGTATTATTATACAGTGTATAGGCAATTGAGCTATTAGCAGAAATTAGCAGTTACAATTAAATTATTGCACTTAAAGCCGTGATTCAGTATTTATAACAGGTATGTCTAGAGTAAGTATGTTATTATACAATAAAACAGTGCTACCACCTATCCTCTCTCGATTCTGTCTACTTATATATCCATATTATCTCCTCACCCACCCCCCTACTCAGAGATGACTAGAGTTGTAGATCCGTTAAGACAGCATCGCACGGACAAGGTCTTAAGTCTGTTTGGGATACACTATCCACTATCGGGTAGTTGTGTCAGTACACTTTTCAGCTGAAACATGGTATCTCTGCGTCTAGGTTGCTTGATGACTGCGATTGTATAAGTCAGGGGGGTAGGCATGAACATAATGCATCAAATTGCATCTGCAGTTTTGTCCATTGATTGTTCCTTGTTCTCTCTCGATCTGCCACCATATGTCACGAAGTGAACCAGGTCCTAGCCTTAATCGCCTCGACCCTCAGGAGCGGTCCCTGTGCCTTGATATTGAGTTTAGTCGAAACCTGAGAAAAAAAAGTGAAAAGAATGAAGCTGCAGGTGAGTGTTTGCAGGTTATTGCCGATATGAATACTAGGAGAATAAGAATATGAAATATACGTTGCAACAGTGAGTAAGTGCTATACGGCTACCACCCATGTTTTACTCCTTCTTGGCCACTCTTTACCTCTCATTTTAAAAGTTTATTGTTGTTCAGAAACAAAGAATGTTTTTTCACCGTTTATAATCACTCGCCATCATGTAGTGTGATCGCGTATGGGTCATCTGTAGAATTGTAACCATTCTTGGCATCGATTGGGCATGTTGTCGCAGACAAAGGAGATATATCTTCAATAGTCTGTTGGTCCTAGAATTACTCAATTTATGAGAAGGATGGCATAGCCTTGCTTCCAATTTACCATGACTCATTGACCGTAAGACTCAAAACTGCAGCCACGCTAAATTAGGGGCCCGGTTCTCGGTGGTGGTGGGGGTTCCGTTTTCGCTGACGTGGAACGCCCCTTCTTTTTGGCCTTTCTTGCTGAACTCTAACTGTCAACCATCCGGTTTAATATAAGCATAAGTTGATCGCCTATGATATGACCGAGTGTTTAATCTCGCATAAAGAAAACCAGAAGTTAATTCAAATAATAGTGTCAGATTCTTTTATATATGTATGTGTTGTTCGTTGTAAATTTGAAATATGCTTTTATTATGGATAGACTATACGTGATCTAGAAATGTTTTAGTGGAGATGTAGCAAGTCTATGCCATTCTACAGATTAGTTAGTTTTCCAATTACAATCTTAAATATGCTTACATTATAACGTCGTTAGGCCCCATTAGTCTATATTTCTACGACAGTTGTTGAGTGAACAATTCATGATACTTTGACCAATGACGTACTGGACTGGCGGTCAAGAACATCCGTTTCTCTTCAGCAGTATAAACGCCAGTAAATACTAATTTCAAGGAATCTTAGCCAAGGACGTAACCGGTGTTATCCCTGGCATTTACATTCGCCGAAGGCGGGGAAACAGCGCTGCGGCTTGCTTTCACCGCCAAAGTAAATTAAAACTAACAACAATTGCATGTGTTTTAATTCAATGTTTCTGCTGTTGTAATTATCTACGAGGTTTTTGAACATGGCCCACCCCATCAACATTAATGCTTTTTCTTTTGTACGTCGTAACGTCGTACTACGTACTGACGGAAAAACGCAAGGCAATAATTTCCTTATGTGATTTGACAATATAAACGTTGTAATTTCAAGTCCTGGTATGGAATTTGTAAACTAAATAATGTCCATAATCCAAAAATCAAGATCACTTGTGATTGTTTTCTGACTCAATTACGTCTATTAAGATTTTACTTCACCTCGAAATGTAACTATAATGAGAGAGATGAAGGCCGGCGTTTTTGCCCGCCAGGTATCCATGGTAACCACCGTGATGCAAAGTATGAATTGTTGATTGGTCGATGAAACGCTACCAGGAACGCCCAAATAGGCGTTCTTGTGTCATGACGGGAACGCCCCCAAGCCCGCAGCCTGGACCCTTCTCCACAATGAACAGGTCTCTGGTTGCTGATGAGCGGTGTGCAGGTGGTGTGTTACGTTAGCTAGCACTAAAAAATTGGCAGCCTTCTTCTGCGCAGTGATAGGAATGAGAAAAAACCATAGTTCTTAGCATGAAAAGTGCTCCAACAAGGATGTGAATGTATCTTGAATAACCAGGTCATGATTTCTAACTGCAAAGCACCGTTTTACACCAAACATGCGCACATTCACCCATTTCATACAGTATGGATGACATCAAAACAGCATAAAGGGAGCAGTTTTGCGGTTCAATATCTTGCTCGTTCCTATTAGTGGAGCAACCCGCTCTACCCTCCTACCCCAGCCCCAAAGCCACAGCAAACCGTGATGATGTGGATGTGACTTTTTAAAATGCCCTTTAAGACTTTTAATACTTTAAACACTACAGATCAAGATTTGACCCCTCATGTTTTCATGGCCAGTTAAACCAACACTGAGGGGTTTCATGTAGGCTACACCAGAAAACAATGGATAGTGTGCCGTAAGCTAAAGTGTTTTTCATTGAGCAAAAACCAGCTGATCTGTAGAGTATGTTGAGAGAAAGTTAAGGGGTTTTCTAATGGTAGGCCGGATTAGGAGCAACATGCATTGTGGCTAGATGATACTGTCATATCACAGAGGGATAAGCTCCTGTCTCATTCAACAAGCTAAACTGGACCCCATGATACCATTATCCGCTGTTTGCTACCATCAAAACAGTTCGCAGGCCCTCCGAAGCACACAGAGCACCTCTGACCTTCTGGCGCTGTCCAGCCACGGTTTGCGATTCTGGCCTCTGCCTGCGTGTGCAGGTCCCAGCTCTCCCACTCCAGACAAGTCTGCCACTGTTTCTGCCTGCATGATTGTGACATGCAGTGGAAGAACTGTGGAGCCATCCCCGGAAAGAACCATTTTGGTCACAGAATGTTGACACAACAAACCATAACACTCAGTTACAGATCAAACTTACCTGAACAACATAGTTGTTTCAGAGGATGAGTTAAATATTCCCCAGGATTTAAATACTTTATTTTGCATAGTGTAGTGCATACCAGCGAAAGTTGTTTGTATATCAATCACAGATTACCTTCTAA